AAATAAATTCTTGAATACCAAAATCTCTCATTTGCTATTCTATTTAGAAAATGTTCATAACAAACTCTTAAAAGAACAGATTATTTGATAATTTTATCTTCGTCTTCTATCTTAGTGATATTAGACTGTCCTGTAGAATATAGGTGTAAAGCCTCATCACACTAGATGTTGCTGCTGTGATTTCTGCAGCCAATAGGTTTTTACAATTGTTGAGTTACCAGTCACATGGTCAACTGGTTTTGAATTCAGATTTGTTTTTCTTTTAGATTTGTTGCTGACAAAAGCAAGAGAGTCCAGTCTGCCTTGCTATGTAAAACATAGCTGGGGGAAGAGATGGTTTCATACTTTTCTCAAGAGTGTTTGTGCAGAAGTGAACACAATAAACTCAGATGAAATTTGAACCCAGTATGCTGGCTCTACTTTCCATATCATTAACCACTACACTATTCACACATCCATTATCTGTAAATCATCATGACTTATTATGAAAGATAGTAAAGTGGTTTCCCATTGCTTTTTCCACAGTTTTGGATATCAGATTTTTCATTCTCTTATACTGGTTGCCACTCAAGGCTAGAGAATCTTGTCTACTCTGATATTTAACCCACAGCTATTGGATGAATAAATGAATTCATACCTTTCCTAAGAGCATTTGTGTGAAACAGACTAGGCCAGAATTGAAACTCAGCTTGCCAATTCCATTTTCAGTACCAATAACACTTTCACTATTTACAATGTCTGGATTGTTGTCCTCATCTTTGTTGTCATATTCACAACATTTTGGCCATTGTACACTCTGGCCTTTTTCAGTTAAGTGGAAGAAGGCCAGAACATAAAATGGTCAAAATGTCCTGAATATAGCAATGAAAATGAGAACAACAGTCCAAACAATGTCAGTGTAAATAATTACAATACCTCATCTCAGAAATATAGACACAACACTTAAACTACTCGCAAATCGATGACAATTAGTACTTTTTTTAGTGAATTGATTTTAAGTAGATATTTACTAATGCTAGTCAAAATATTTTGATTAAATATACATTGATTACAAATGATTCATTCTCAAACTGCTATTCTATTATTCTATGAGTTGTCAGTATTTGTGTTCGTATCATTGCTGCTTTTATGATTGTATTTCTGCTGATGCTCTCTTCAACTTTGTTTAGGTGAGCAATTTAGCCAGTAAAGCTAGTGAGATGGGGGTGGGTACAGTTTATCTTGGAAGAAAGGGGTCCTGAAAAGGGTCCTGTTTATTTTTTTGCAAGAAAAGGTATTGGACAGTCTAAAAGTTTGTTCTGCTTTTAGCATTAAATGACATTAAGAGCATTTACTTTTAACTTCATTTAAAAAATTACTTTTCATTTTACTAGAAGAGCCATCATTAGTGTGTACTTAAAATATTGTCAAAATTGGCATATTTTTGTTTATTGAAGATGAAAGAAAAGATTGTTATACTTTTTTGTTATGGAGAATGAGAAGAGATTATTTTTCAGCACAAAACACAAAAGATCATTGAGGCAAGTGAACCAACCACTAACAATAGCAAAGTCACTCTTCATCAAAAGGTAGGATTGGAAGGGAGTCCTCTACTATGAATTTACTTTGGAGAAGCAAATGACTATTTTGAACAAGTGCTGCTCTGACTAATTGAAAACAGCAATTGACAAAAAGCACCTAGAATTAGTTAATAGAAAGAACATAAAATTTTATCAGGATAATGCCAGATGATATGTTTCTTTATTGAACAGGTAAAAGTTGTTACAACTTTACTAGGAATTTTTCACTCAGTTGCTATATTACTATAAAACTTAATTCTTCCTTGAAAATTGCAAAAAAAGCATCAAGAGCAGTTTATTTTTTAGAGATAAAATTTCTAAGTGGACAGAATTATGAAGTTACAGGAAAGATAGAAAAACAAAAGAGTAATGTAAAAAAAAAATGAACATTTTGTTCAGCCAATAATTTATGAGCCAAACTGAAAAATTCAGTTATAAATTAAGATATATGTTAATTTTCTCAGTATTTGCAAGATACTAATGACCCTGTAATATCTTGTTGGAACTCCAATTCTTTAATTCAAATGGAAGTGATCACTTTGACATCCACATGTGACAAAAACAGACTTTAATTTCATCCAGCACTATGCACCCACTTCTAGAATATTGTCCCCCAAAATACCAGGGTCATAAAACATCTTTTCTGACCAATCAGAAAACAGCTGCCACAGTTTTCAAAGCAGCTGTTTCTGAACAACTGACTCAACATAAAGCCAGTGCTGATTCTATCCATGAATGCAGATCTAACTCAGCTGGTTTTAGTGATGGACCTTAAGGCAGTCAAGCTTAACCAGGCCATCAGTAGTGATTCCAAGACACTTGTCAACAGCAATATCTTTGGCCAGTGATGAAGCCAGCGGCAGCAGTTACTAACTCTCAACTACTACAATGTGATGATTTGTGGAATATTTCTCCCATGAATCTATCTCACTCAACTACATATGCATGTTGATTTTCTTCATGTATCTATTTTGACTGTATTATATCCTGAACAAACTATCAGTCCCCCATGAATGATATACAATACCCTGAAACAAGCAAATAACCAAACTCTGTAGATCATGTGAAATAGGTTATTTAAGAACATGATTCTAGTTCTTAAGTTAATATTTTGGTTTTGTTTGTAAGATCTTGCAGATTTGGACAAAACTACCCTTAGTGCAACCTACACTATGTTCAATTTCCTTACATTAGTCACTTTTTTCTTTTTTTTTAATCAGTATCACCCCATGCATGTCAGTAAAACCACTAAGACACAAGGGCTTACAGGGTGTGGAAAAATTAGGAACAAAATCATTAATAATGAGCAATAAGAGAAAAGAGTAATCAGGAGGACAGTAGATAGTGATTGATATTGCATTTAAATTTTTGCAGATTAAAGTTGGCTGGAAAGCATGGAGCCAGAAGGGAGTTCCACAATATAACTAATTCTATGCTAACAGTTTCTTTTCTCCCATTTGGGAGAAAAGAAACTGTTAGCATAGAATTTACAGTTATATTTAGCCAGCTCAACTATAAATTAAGAGCTTGATGCCAGCCTAATAATGCATTTAAATTCAAAAAGTCTAGGTACCATAGTAAAGAGCCCATCTGAACAATTACCATGAAAGTATTTACAGATAAGACAAAGAAAGGCAACCTTACAGCAGTGGGTAAGTGACTGAAGCTGTGCTGCCAGATCAGGACCAATAATATTGTTGATTCTTCTTTGGATTTTATCAAGGAGTTCAAAGTAAATAGCAATATTCTAAGTATGGTCAAATGTTAGACTTATAGATATGTAAGATAGATTCAGGAGAGAAAAATTGTCTTGTACAACCCAGTGAACCAACTTTCTTAGCAGCTGACCTAACAATGGATTCAATATAGTTTTTCTACTTCATGTCAACTGAGAACATTAGCCTGAGAAGGCACAATGAGTCACTTTCCTGGAGATAATAAGCTATTTTTTTTCTTTAAACAGAAGTGCAGATTTGAGTTAACTTATAAATATTGCTCTATGCAAATTGGTTTTTATATCTGAATACCTTAAACCTACACTATAATAGTCATCAAACATCCAGGAAATAAAATTTGTGTACTTTTTATCTGTAACATTGGTTTGTTGGAGATTACATGATCCAATAGTGCTTTTAAATCCAAGATATGAAAATGTTACTTGAACCACATTGGCAGATTTAATCCATATAGATTTTTATCTTACCAGCAATATCAGTGAACCCTTCTTTTTGTTTATATATATATAAAATCCTATCTGTGAATACATAATCTATATTATAAAGTAAGAATTGATCCTCTGTCTCTCTCACACTATGTGTGACTTTGTAAGTGTGTATGTAATGTCTGTTGTTACAACAATATCGTGTATGTAATGTCTATTGTCACAGACACACAACAGTGCTATGTGTCTATGAGTGACTTACAAACAAGTGCCATTTAATGTACAGTATACACGTAATTTAACAAAAGTTTGATAAGACATGGTGATAATAGATTCTCCTCACACTCAGTCTAGACAACTCCTAACTTGGGCTGGAGAATATAATCATGAAGTTAGAGACAAGAAAAAAACTGAAACTCTATAAACAATCAGATTTTATTGAACTTTTTGGAAATCATTCTGTAATAAATAAAATTATTTAAATTTTTTTTTTTTTAAATTTTGTAAAAATATTATTCGGGTCACACATAAAGTTACACACACTTATAATCTTAATGAAATTGAAATGGACATCCATTGTAATGAGATTTAATTTCCATTTTCAGTCTGTCAAAAACACTTGGGTAACCAGAAAAGAGTATAAGCCAAAATGTCTGCCTCTCAAAGTAGTTAAACTGAACATATTTTCTAAGTGTAGTATTTTAAATGGACAATCAATTTCAATTTGAAATAGAATCATCTTGCTGTCAGGGAAGCAATGGTATGAATTAGTTTCTTTAATAGATGATTTTGTTAACATTTCCATCAGTGTTATGAGAATGTTGCTATATTTTACTTTATAAAAGCATTATTTTCAGACTTTTATTGCATAACTAACAAAGTTTTTTTTTTTACTGCTGGAACTTCAGGGAAAATATTACCCACATTTAGACTTAGCATTGTTGCCAATAAAGTTGGTGCCTCTTCAACCAATTCAAAATTTGTTTAGTTATAAAAGGTGTAGGGGTCATTACATTTGTCAAGAAGCAATTTCAATAAAATCCATGCTGAATATGAACTCTTTGTGAAATGCATATTATCTGAATCTTTTGACAGACATACACATGTTAGCTCTCGCTATAAGGCTAAATTGACTTCTTACATTTTTTATTTTTAATGATCTTTGAATAAGATATTGAAAATCTAATGTATATCATTGACTTAGATTTATTACATAGTTTAGAGTTAGACATTATATTTATGCTATACAAAATATAATTTTATTTTTGTTTCTATTTCAGTATACAGTATGGAATTTCATACCAAAGAACTTGTTTGAACAATTTCAAAGGATAGCAAACTTTTATTTTCTTATTGTAGGAGCGATACAAGTAAGTATAAAATTTACATTATTATGAAAATATTTAATTTATAATTGGCAGTGGAATCATTAAAATAATTTATTTTGATATAAATAATGTCTGATGCAATTATTTCAGTATAACTACAAACTACTAATTTACCTATATATAATATACACATGAGTAAATAAAGAACAAATAGGAAGAAAACCTTTATAAATTTGACATGTTGCACTGATATTTATTTATTGTGAATGGGATTGTGCCAATTTTTTTATGTTTTGTTTTCATTGATAGTGTTGTATGTTCATTTAATTGAGTTGGTATGTATCATTTTTTTTGTGTCCAACCTGTGTTTACCACATGATGTCTCAAGGACACATGGCACAGTGGATAACGGCATTAGTTAGATCCAGTGACAGTTCACAAAGAATGTGAGTTCAATACCTGGCTAAGGCAGTGGAGAACTTGGAGAGGGGAATTAACAGGAGATAACTGATTACTGACATCCATTAGACATAGCATGTGAAACTAGAACAGTCTACCCCAATGAGTGAAATAAATGGTTCAGTTCAACATTCCAACCACCTGAAGAAGTACAGAGTGATAAATATGGCAACAAAGATGAGGATGATGGTCCAAGCAATGTAAATAGTGAAGAATCTTTTAATGCACTCCTTCATGTATGCATGTGTGTGCATATATATATGTTTGTATTTCCTGTTATCTGTTCGCCTTCTGAGGTCATGGATCTATGCCTGAAAAGTCTTGCTTTAGTTTGACTTCTTAGAGCAACATCAGTTCTAGCCATCTCTGTTTACAAGAACTGCACCTAAAGACACATTTCTCCAATGTTGTTTAAATACTTTTCTTTAAGGCTCTTTTTTTTTTTTTTTTTGTAAGTATACATTTCTTCAGCAGCAAGCCTAAACGTCTCTCCTCTTCTTTTTAGATGTGTTGTTTCAGCAAGAGTCACTATTAACAAGAATAGGATGCATCTCATGTTGCACATGTGGAAAGGCAATGAGACATTACTCTTGAGTAGTGTTGCAGTAAAGCACCCTGCTGGACATCATTACCTTTCTGTTCTCCCAAACGCTTTTCATCAGTCGAGTGAACAATAAGGCTGCTCATTTAAACCATCTATTGATCTCAAAGTCAAAGGAGAGACTATCTCCAGCTTGTAGCTGTTGATAGAATGACAGTGGCAGTTTGTGTGTGCACAATTTGCTTTTTCTAAATTGATATAAAAAATATCTTAAGGATAATTTTTTCTTTACTAATTCATAGGATTTTGTTAAAAATGATCCTAGAATTAATTTATATACAACACAAAGAACAAAAAAATTGGCATGTGCTTTTAGAATTTTTGAAAATTTCCTGTTTGAATTTTGATATTGGCAAATTTGAATGTAAGGTGTTGAAAGAATATATTTATATATTCATCTAAAATGGAGTAAAATTAAATATTAGGGTGAGTTATGAATAATTTTTATTTTATTTTTCAACTTTATTCTTCAAAAAATAAAGTATTTTATTCAATTATATATTCACCATTATTTACAATGACTTGTTGCTACACATCAGGCAGCATTTTTATATGTCTTGAATAAAAATTCTGAGGTTTTGATGTGAAAAAGTTTGACAAAAATCTGGTTTTCATTAGAGGTAGTGTTTCTCCATGAAAGTGTTTAACAGCCATCAAAAAAGGTAATGATTTGTTGATGGAGGGTCAGGTGAATGTAGTAGTTTGGGTAGAACAGAGCAACTGAGTTCAAATATTTTCTTGTCATTCTTACTTGCAATGTCATGAACAAGAACCATATTTTCCCTATTGACAAGTGCAGAACACTTTTAAGCCAAACCTTGATGGACACATTGCAACTGCTGGATGTATAAATGTGCACTGTGTGTTTTATTGCATTTTACTGCTTCTAAATAAATAATATCCCAATGATCCCATCACATGCACATCAGTCCCTTTCTTTCATGGAGCTCAACTCTTATGGTCAGTTGTGGAGATTTATCCTTGTCAATCAACTAACCTTTGTATTGAACATTGTTACATGTAACCAGTTTTTTCTTTTTATCACCTGTTATGCTATATTTTCAGGAACTTGTTATTGCTCTGTTGGGGAAGAAAACTCTGTTTCTAGGAATAAATGATTTGCTTTTCTCTTTTTGCTAAGTGTGTATAGAACCCAAACACTCATCTTGCTGACTTTCCCTGTCTTTTCTGAGTGTCAGCTTATGTTAGATTATGATGTGTTTAACATATTTGCTAATTCTTGTGTATAGCTTTTTACTGACGACTTTAGAGTTTAGAGCTTTATCATCAAATTCTGGTGAACATATCTTCATCTTTCAATTCATCTTCCAATGATGTTTCTCCAGAATGTAACTTTTCAAACCAATTTCATACTTGTTGCTCAGTTATAACACATTGAATATAAACACTGAATATCTTTCTAGATGTCTCCATAGTATTATTTCTTGAAGTTCCACAACATGATTTGACTTAAATGCACTTTCAATGCCTCCAATTGATGGAGTTAAGGAATGTATCCTTTAAGCCACTGTGTACACTGCCATGCAGAATCTAAGGTATATGTTAGTGTGTACTCCAAATTTATTAACTGCCATATATAATTAGCAGTTAGGATGATACATTCATCATTAAAATTGGTTCACAAAAACAGAAATTACTTATGACTCAACCTAATATTTGCCAAATAATCCAATACTAGGTTGTCCCATGTAAAATATCATATTTTAAATGAATGTCAAAAACAAAACATTTTCATTTAATCAGAATGATATTCATTTTGTTCTACTGTTTTCTTTCAATGTAACTTGAAGTTTTTTAGCCCACTAAAAAAAAAACCCTTTTCATTTACTTTAATAAACTTTTCAAATGTTTTAACCACTTCTTTAATATAAGAGAATCTTCTAATAGTTCAAAGTGTTTCAATAAGTGATAATCTGTGGTTGAGATGTCTAATGAATAAGGTAGATGCTCCAAAATCTCATAACAAAGCTGTGCAACTTTTGAATGAGGGACTGTGAAGTGTGAAGGTCTGCATTATTATGGGACAGAATTAGGCCTTCTCTATTTGAGGCTCTTTCTTTTTTGCACTCAAAATGTTTCAAGTTATCTTGAAAGTTTTTTGACTGCATTTTAACTTTATCTGACCAATGAATTCAACTGATCATTTTTTTATGGCTGAATTAGGTCTTCATTTTCAAGGCTCTTATGAAATTTCTGAAACCATTTCTTTATTTCTAACACTAACAATATCAAATGACAAGCTGATGTTTCACTGAGTTTTTATGGCATTCAATTTGTATAGCATGAGCAGTTGATATTGTTTAACTGTTTTCATTTTCTGGGGGCTATGAATGATATTTTTTTTATGGAAACAATCACCTGAAAACAAAATAACAAAGAAAAAACACAAAAATAATGACTTATAAACTTTTGTTGTTTTTTTACGAAAAGTCAGCAAACAAAAAAAATATGACATTTGATGTAGGACAAATATTATTCATCAATAAAATATCAATTTAAAGTGTTTTTGTTTTGAAAACCTCAATTAGTAATTTTATGTTGAAACATGTGTATGTGCTTACCTTCTATCTCTGTCTGTCTATCTCTCTATCTATATTCATATATATATATATATATGTAAATGTGTATATATATATATATATATATATATATATATATATATATGCAATTTTTTTATATATATTATATATGCACAGTACTTATTGGAAAGCACTCAATATCAGTGATAGAGCTAACATATTTAGCTGGATTGATGTGAGTTTGTGACCCTGGGTTTCACACTATTTGTGATCGTCAGACAAACTGATTAATTTTTAAATTTTGGGTCTATATATTGTTGTGTATATCTGTGTTTTTATGGAAGTAAAATTGTCATCAGAATGCCACTCATACTTACGCAAACATACATATACTCACATACATTCATTGATGTATGCAGACACACACACACGCATGCTCACTGGAGCTCACACAAACATAAACATATGTGAACAGTGTGGGACTGGGCATATATTCAGGCATGATTTCCAGCCCATCAAAGTCAGTGGCAGGTCATGTTGGTTTCTCGGTCTCCATCTTAAAATATAAACTTGTGCGAAAGAGACCTTCATTGTTTGTGATCTGGTCCTGTCATGCATTCAGCAGGATTTGATGAGGTTTCATTTGATGGAATCTTTCAATCTTATATATATAATAATCCCTAGTGAATTAAGGCTAAAACTGCAAAGCATACTGTAAAGAATTCAACCGCTAAATCACTGCTTGCTGTGCAGATTACAATTAGGTAAACAAATAGATATTTAATCTTCTGTTAGCAATATTTACATGCCAAAATAATCAAATACAACTGTTTGTCAATTTCCTTCACATTTATTATTGAAGTGTTGTATATGTAAAAACTGAAAATTAATTAAGCTTTTATACAAATTATGTAGCATTGATTAATTATGTCTGATTTTGAAGCTCTTGAAATACTTTAAAATTAAATGAAATTTAATTGTTACTTTTATAATAATAAAATAGATTAACTCAATGCAAGTATGTAATTGAATTGATATTAAAATATAATGTTAAAATAAATGTACCATTCCTCTGCTTTTAGCCTACTTATACTACTCGATCTTATAAAACTTGTATATTTTAGTCTCTATATGAATAGCTGAAACCTATAACATCTTGAAAGCTAGATATTTAAAATTATTTTTTTATCAGTCATAAATTATTGAGTTGAAGCTTCAGGTTCAATATTAAAACCGTGGAAATCAACAAATATATTTACTGCAGAGATTTTTTAGAATTATCAGTTTTTATAAACGGCTCATTTTTTATATCTGATAAAACATAAAAGTTTTAGGTTTGTTTATTGTTTTTTTTAAGGTATTCTTGGCTTATTGATATAATTGGCCAATTGGTCTTGATAAGATTGGCTGTTTTGTTGTATACGTAGCCATGGTTACGAGAT